CTTTGGGGAATTAATTCTTCTCCATATCTGGATGGACGAGCCGCCAAGAGCCCCTGGTCTCCCAAAGCTAAGCACTGGACACCTGTCCAAACTGGGCCGACTAGACTCTCTCCTGAAACTGATTCTTGAGCTGGAAAATGCAAAACCAGAAAAAAACAATTGAATTGATTTTTTTTTTTTTTCTGGCTATGGAGCCCTTAAAGACATTTTCTATTAATTCTTGCTACGTAGACCCTAGAGCATCTCTGGCACCACAAGGACTGTGCTGTGTTCACTAAAAAAGACTTTTACTTTTTTCCTGGGGAAATACAAAGTAACAGCATAAGTGACCCATGTCACCGCCAGACCTGGCAGCTGAAAAGTCTCACATGACCTTTCTCACTCTCTCTTCCTAAGCAGCTGAGAGTCAATGTTTCCGGTACAGCTGAGCCAAACAAGGGAGAAGCTTAGAGTCCCATTCCACCACCTGGAAGGGAGCTACCCAGGTGAGTCTCCTAACCCACATTTGACTAGGACAAGAGGAAGTAATAGACTTCTGTAGTAAGAAGGGAGGTGTGACAGGGGGTGTTTTTACAGAAACTAACAAGTGTCACCCTCACACACTATCCTTTTCAGAGACGTTCCAGGCTTCCTTTCAGTTATGATACCCTTCCAACAAATTCTTTTCCCGCGGAAGTTGCTCACCTCCGTCGCTTTCAACCACATCCCTGATGGATCTATCACCAGTAACGATTTCAACAGCCAGATGAAGAATGATGACCAGTGAGATTAAACCATGCTATCTCACTAGGGACTGTATGCATTGATTGAACTGACCCTTCATAAAGCAACAAATGTATACTCAGCACTGACTAACGTTTAAGAAGCATAAAGTATTAGGTACACATTCTGACCGTTTGTCACTAAAAACAAAAAAACATTCACACCAGCCTCTTTATACCTGACACTCTGCGGGGCATTACAGATATGAAGACAAATGAGAGTTGGTCCTATATCTGAAGACCACATGGTCCAGGGCTACTGAGAAGCTTCCAGTGTTGTGGGAGAAATCAAGATGAGTACGCATGCAGTACCAGGGTTACTACTCACACGAGGTAAAACTAGAATACAAGACTGGCAGGTTCTGTCCTTGGCCCTTTCCACTTTATAAAATCTTCCCGGGTGACTCATCTACTCTTTCATGGTTCTGATTATCACTCAGGATTCTCAAATCTGTCTTCTCGGATCCTGGCTTCTCCACTGAGTTCCAGGCCTACGTTTCTAGTCAGCAAGACATCCGTACCTTGGTTCCCATAGGCCTCTCGTTCAACTTGTCGAGAACCAAAGTCATTCTCCTGCCTCCCCAACCTGGTTTCCAACCTGTGTCCTCTCTTAGTTGATGGAACACCTGCCTACCCAGCTAGCTAGAAATCATGGTATCCTTTTGACTCCTCCCTCTCTCCTCTCTCCTTTTATACATTAGTCACCAAGATCCGTCACCTTCCACCTCAGAAATGCTTCTGTGTTGTTCTCAATTCACTGCTCTGGTTCAGAATCTCCTATGCTTTCATCCCCACTGCTGCAGCACTCCCAGGGCCCATCCTTCTGTTCTAGCATTCCTTTTACATTGTCTACACTGCTGCTAATTATAGTTTTGACCCTAAAATCTCACTTCATTCTTCTTAGTATTTCTTTACCGGATCCCCAAAGTCTTCAGGATGAAGTCCAAACTCCTTAGTCTGACATAGAAGCCGCTTCACAACTGTGCTCGGTCAACTTTCCCACCTTCACCTTTGTGAGTATGGTGAGAAAAATAAACTCAACTTTGCCTCTAATTGACCCCTTTAACTCATCTCTCCTTACTGATTGGTCATCTGAAATTCCAACCAGCTTTCTGCTCCCCACTTTGTGACCATCTCCAAGGAAAGCTACTTTCAACTCTTTCCAGGCACCATCAATAGTCTCTCCTCATTCTCATGGGATTGGTCCTTTCGACCCTGACCTACTGCAAAAGACCACAGTCTATTCTCTGTGGCTTCCTTGTGAATGAGCATTACCCTGTACAGTCTTGTAACCAACCTGTACCCCTTCTATCTCTGTCACGAGGACTCAAGTCCTGGGAGGCCATCTGCTCATTTGTCAAGGTAGTCACATCCCTCATGTCTATCTACTTTTCAGTCCAAAATTTTAAAATTGAAATGAAGCTCAAAAGTTACCTACACACCATTTCCTATACATAAATGTCTCATTTATAACAACTCGTAAGAAATTTTTCACCCTCTTGGGACAAAGAAATCACTGTTCCTCAGAATACTTATTCCATCTGTAATGTCTCCAATGGCTACGAGAAATTTCTTCATACTGAGACGGATTCCCGCCGCTGGTAACCTCTACTCCTGGTTCCAGTTCTACCCAGCCATGCAAAGCTTCCAGTCCCTCTTCTGTACAATTTCACTTCTGATATGTGGACATGCTTCCCATAATCCCTTTCCCAAGTCCGCCTTCATTAGATCAAACCCTCTCAGCTCCTCCCAACCAACCATTCCTCATTAAAATTCAATGACTGAACCAGTGGCTCATGGAGGTTGTAATTAGCAATCGGTGGACCCAGTTATATTATCCCTGAGGATTTCATGACTCCTTGAGATTGACCTCAGACATCAGGTTGCTCTCCTGGGCTCACATAAAAGGAATACCTAACAATCAGGCCCGCAGGATGTAACCACCAAATAATTAGAATTTTAGAAACCGCGACAATATTTTGACTCATTCTCTATAGGGTGTCAAGATAAAGACGACTCCGAATTTTGCATCTGGAAAGTAAATACAGTAGTTTCTGTGGCCAGAAAGTTCTCACAGATTTCCAAATAACTTCTTTCAATAAACATCACAACTAGTATTGCCCTAAAAAGTTTATACACGGCAAATTAGGGGCGCCTGGGTGGCTCAGTCGGCTAAACGACCGACTTCGGCTCAGGTCATGATCTCACGGTCCGTGAGTTCGAGCCCCGCGTCGGGCTCTGTGCTGCCAGCCCAGAGCCCGGAGCCTGCTTCAGATTCTGTGTCTCCCTCTCTCTCTGCCCCTCCCCCACACATGCTCTGTCTCTCTCTGTCTCAAAAATAAATAAACGTTAAAAAAAAAAGTTTACATGGCAAATATATCACACTCTGAGCATTTCTAATTAATGTGGAGCACAGCAGAAGGGTATGTTTCTCCCCTGCGAGAACCCCAGCATGTATCTGCTCATCTCACAGATAAGCTCCCTCTACTGTGATGAGCTCACCTGCGGGCTCCCCAGTTTTCTTTTACTGTTCTTTTTGGAGGGACACGGATTTCTGTTCTTCATCTTTTCTCTCATCATTGGTGACCATTTTCAGCTGAGCCTTTCTCTCACCCGCCTCTTTCTGTCCTCCGGACAGACCGCATCGTCCCCCTAGCGACCGTGTGTTTCGATCCAGGGAAATGCCCTTCCTATACTTGCCGTACATCCTCAGATGACAAGGCTTTCTCACTCTATTTGTTTCCCCACGTTTGCAGAACTGGGAACAAATTATTTAAAGTGGTTTTTACCTGGCCTCATTTTCCTGCACAGGCAATTACTTCTCTGCAAATGGCTGCACTAGCCAAATAACTGTGTCCACAATTAGCTAATTGCAGGTTCAATGAGCCACTTGTTCCTTCAAACTTGGCCATTAGAGTCGTGTGATTGGGCAGAAATTTATCTTTCTATTCCCCTCTGATTTACAGAGTCACCGCAGATCCCAAATTTGATTTCCCCGCATTCTTTTACAGTGTGAATCTAAGCCTTTTTACTTTACTTCCTTTTGTGTATCTGGATTCCATTCTTTTACAAACCGCAGCAGCTACGCTTTATGTATTAGACCCAAGGAATATGTATTTGAATTAAGTCAACCCTTTAATAGGGGTTATCATTAATTAGAGGGTGAATTATTAATAAATTATCCATTTGATAAACCGTAAAAGTAAGGCCGCAAAACAGTTGATTTGCCAAAGGCAAGCGGTCATAATAGAGTAAAACTAAAAACCCTAAATAGCAAACTCGACTTTCTCCCTAGGCCCTGAGCTTCCCACACAGGGTAAGAATTAACCTTCAACCTCACTTGCCTTTAAAAGAAAGCACCCTTAAACATTCCTAAAAATCATTATCACCTGGGTTCTCTGAAACTACAAAAAATGTCATTTCTTTTAAAAACTGCTTGAATTTTTCTCCTACAATTAATGCATTTTCTTTTCTCAATTTCTGTATATTTGACTCTAATTTTCTTGTTCAACCAACACTTATAGAACATTGAAATGTGTGCTCAATTTTCAGTTTCATCACAAGGAGGTCATCTCCCACTAACACTCCTCCAATCCACTAGAAGAGTCGCCAAGAATAGTGAGTTTTCATTTATGAACAAATTAATATTAATGAGGATTAGATATATTTGCTTTGAGAATGACTCAGACACTTTTAGGTTTCAAGACATTTGCCTTCCAATAAACACTAGCAGACTCTCAGATGGTTCTTTTCACCTGGAACATTTTATTGTTAAACTCTCTAGTTTACAGCCACCCCTCCTCATGATTGTCCTAAGTGTCTGTAACTGAATGGGAAACGATTCCCCATGTCTCAGGAGATCCTGACCCACCAACAAATTCTTATCTCTCAATTGTCTCTATTCTGCTTCAAAAGCCTCTGGCATTTTCTTCAACACTTAGCGTATAAAAAGGTAAGTAAAGCTTAAGAGCAAAGAGAAATCAGGGTTAAAGGTACACAAGTGGAAAGGAGGGAAAAACAACTCTAAGAAAGCAGAAGAAACACCCAGGACAATGCTAAAAAAAGGGAGGGGGGCACAGCCTCCAAGAAACAAGATACAATAACGCCTACTGCTCACAGAGAACACGTACTGAAACCAGTTTGCGCACAAACGATAAAGCCTGAGTGTGCACCTGCTGGGATATGGAGGGAGAAGTGAGGCGGTCGAAGACACAGGTGCTGCTGATGCTTTTCACTTACCCAACACCAGCAATTCTGCCGAGTCCTCGTTTTTGCCCTCCAGGTCATCAGGGGTAGTGATAATACAGTAATAGAGTCCGCTGTCTCCCCACATGAGTTTTCCAATTTGAAGATCAGCATCTGTGATCACAAAAAGAAGTGCCCAGTCCTAAAACTGCCCCCTGAAAGGAAAACACTGAACACTAGAGGGTGAGAGAAGGGCCCTTCTGGATTGTTTACAGGTCTACTTCTCCACTTAGATGGCAGCTGACGAGCTGTTCGCTTTATTTCAAACAAACAAAAACCTAAAAATAGCAAACAATAGCATCCCTAAGGTGAGACACTTAGTGTGTCCCCAGAAACTGGTCTAGGGCCAGTTCAGTTTTGGGAATAGATGACTGCTTGCAACCAACCAGATCTGCAGAGGCCCCTGAAAGCCAGATACATTCCAGAGTCACCCTGGACTCCCAGAAATGAGCTGGCGTCACAGGAGTTCTTCAAAATTCACAGGTCACGTCAGACTCTTAGGCCCTTTTCTTGTCCAAAGCTTTAGGGAGCAGAAGGAAGGGTAGAATTGATGCAGAACCACCTGGGGTTTGGGCCATGGCATCTACCCGGCTCTGTAACTTGATGCATTCATCCCTTCTCCCAGCAGAGCAACTTCCTAGGGAAGTGGGTTTTCTGAGTTTGGGAATGGGGCGTAAACGCTAATGTCAAGATGTAAGGTTTTGAGAATATTCTTTCACTAGAATCTGTTTCAATTCAGTTCTGATAACAAGCTCCTCAGACTAGAGGTCGGGACCGGGAAAGACTATTTCCAAAGCTCATCTCTGTGTCTGTCCTAGATATTACACCCTTTACACTTTCTACACTCACTGTCCCATTAAGTAATTTGCTAAGCTTCTTGATTGCTCCCATCTCCCATAAAATCAAAATCTTGAGGGGTTGCAAGGCTGAGACACTGGCATCCCCTTGTGTGGGGGAGGGTGGAACTAATCTCCCCTCCATTCCCGGATTCCAAGAGGAGGCATCATTACCATGCACAATCGTGATCTCTCTGCCCCTGTAGAAGTCTCCCAGGGTGACGGTCGAGCCCTGTTTGGAAGCTACCACTCGAACAGTCCTCCTGCTGTCTAAACAGTCCAAGTAGGGGTCCCACTCCAGGTTTCTTTTGCTGAGAGACTGGGCCCGGGGAGAGGACATGCCCAGGGATTCCCCCATGCGATCCTGGCAGTAGGACTTGAACTTCCACTGCACGACGGCAGGCTGATGGGAAGACGTGGAGAAGTGGCAGCGGAGCACGGTGGGCTGGAACAGCATGGCCACCTTCCTCTTGTCAGGCACTGTGACTTGAAGGCCGTCAGCCATGGCTGCAAAACACAACGAATATGTCCAAGTGGTATCCACACCCTGGACCTTACCTCCCATCACACAGTCGCGCCTTTCCACCTCACCTCCCTGATCTGTCCCTCCTCGCTTTCCCCATCACAGTTAGCGGCATCATCCCATCTGGCTGCATTGTCCAGAAACCTGCCCTCACTCCCAATGTCGAGTCGGTCACTAAGCCATGTCCATTTGATCTCTTAACAGCTTTAATATTTCTTCCCTCCTCTTTGACCTCACTACCATTGCTTTTGTTGGTGCTTTTGATTTCTTGCTTATAATATTACAGTAATCTCGTCTCATCTCCCCGCCGGCCACTGCCCACATGTCATCCATTCTCCTTGTTATATAATTCAAGCAGTCTTTCTAAATCTGGCTGCTGTGGCTCTCCTTCTTAGAACCCTTCATTCAACCTCCCTGGCCTTCAGGATAGAACCCAAAGCACCTGGAAAAGATGTAAGGTCCTTCATCATCTAGTTCTTCTTACCTCCTCAGCCTCACTTGTAGTGGCACCTTCATTTGAGTACCAGCTTCCAGGAACAACCAAACAAGTTAACAGTTTCCCCAGGTGGGACATGCTATCTCACACCTCTGGGTCTTTGCACATGAAGCTCCTAGTTTCTGGAATGCTTTCTCCTCACTTCTTTCTTTGGGAAGCTGTTTTCCACCCTTCAAAGCCCAGGTCAAAGGCTTTCTGTAAGTCTTCTCTGACCCTCAGTCCATTCATCACTTCCTCCTTTGTGCCATCAGAATCCCAGCATCCTTTTCTAGACACTTCTTATAATTACTCTGCAAGAATTTCTTTTCATGCCTGTCACCCCCATCAGATTTGTCAGGTAAGGAATGTGTCTTATCTTACTGTCCTGGCTTGTGAAGCCCACAGGTGCTCAACTAATATTTGATAAATAAAAACAATGAAGCTGGGAAGTATAACTTCAGGAGGAAGTGACTTCCCTTCCAGATGATAAGCTAGCAAAGGGGACAGAGATGAAGGGAAATGAAAGCTTTAAGAGAAATGAAGATTTTCAGATCAAAAGCAGTAGACTAAGTTCAAAAGCTTTGAAGGTTCATCAAAAAAAAAAGGGGGGGGGAGAGAAGGGTACCTGGGTGGCTCAGTCGATTGAGCGTGCAACTCTTGATTTCAGCTCAGGTCAGGATCTCACAGTTTTGAGCCCCACGTCAGGCTCCATGCTGACAGCACAGAGCCTACTTGGGATTCCCTCTCTCCCCCTCTATCTGCCCTGCTGTGCATGCTGTCTCCCTCTCTTTCTCTGTCGCTCAAAATAAATTTTTTTAGTAAAGGGAGAAAGAACTCTAGAAAGCAAACGAGAAGTTTAAGTGGCGAAAAGATACAGCCTGAGGCTTTGTCCAAGAAAGAGAGGGAGATTTCAGTGAATGGAAGACCAGGGGAGTATTTGAGAGGCAAAAGGTCTCTATTAACTTAATGGTGAGATCTAGAAATTCCAAGCAAAGACAACTTAACTTTCTCAGTTCAATGAGAGAATCAGGAGTTTCTACCTTGATCTAACCTAGAAGCAGAAACAGAATAATGATGAGAGGCAGAGAAAGGAATATGAACAGAAAGACATGATAAAGACGCTCTGAATTAAATCCAGGAAGGAGTCTGCCAAGTCAGGTGCCGGGAGCTTGAGACCCTAGAATTACAGTGGACTTGAGGCACGCGAGGAAGGAACAGTTTCCGCGGGGCGCCTTCTGTCCTTTATTCCTGCTAGTGTTCAAAATGTCATCTTGAAAGCACACTCACTCTCACGGTTCCAACATACACTTATTTACCTACGAGTGTCTCCTATGGAATCACCCTCAACAAAGGCAAAATACCACACTTGTGCTCCTGTCTTCGGAGTTCCAGACCAGCACCTCTCATTATGAAAAACCAGGTTCTAAGTTCTTCTGGGGAGAAAACATTTTCCGCATTCTGTGAACATGAGGAAGTGAGTACAACAGAGTGTTTGACATTCACCAAATCGTAGTGTTTTGAACCTACCAAGTGCTATAGAATAAATGAAGGAACGCGCGCACACATGAATGACTATCACTACAGGAATTTCTAAGACTTTGCAGAGAAAACGGTTACATGTGTCATAGATAGCACGGTATAGAATAGCAGTGGAATCAAATAGATAGTACTTCGAATCCCACCTGGCCCTCCACTAGCAATGAGGCCTTAACGAAGCCTCTTAAGCAGCCCTCACTTACAAAATGAGCCTCATAATGCTTACTCACAGGGTTGTTAACAAGCATTACGTCATTGGGCACCTGTCCGGAGGAGACCCTACCGCAGAGGACTGTGACCATGTCCTGCAGTGGTAGATCTCAAACGCTAATCCTCCCTCACCTTTCCTGCTTTTTCTCTCACCTCCCACACTGAGGCTCCTGAATCTCCATGAACGTCCACCACCAATAGGCTTGATGATAACCAGACTATGTACATCAGCCCCATCCAGGGGCAAATAATTCCAATCTGGAAGCTCACCGAAGAATCTCAGTTTCTAGGCTCCACTGCTTCCTTCCACCACGCCAAATGTTGATATGGCTAATTCCACTGCTCTCTAACTCACAGAGCTGGAGTGGGAAAAGAAATTTCTTTACAATTTCTCCTTAAATTCCATTGCGTTAATTTTTAACCTTGTAATTCTTCTCCAAATCCCTATTCACACTCCAATTTTCCAGTTCTCCAAAAATGGGACAGAGAGGTGAAGGGACTTCGGTTAGCAGTGGTTGAGGCTGAATAACCAATCACAGGCATTGTTCCCAGTACAACACTTTGTACTTGACCACACCGCCTTTCTTCTCTGCTATCACTTCAGGCTATACCTGAGAAATCACATTTCCTAGCCTTTCTAGGATAAATAAAACCAGCAAAGAAGGCAGACAAAGTGTTGTATAAAAGCGTTGCTAAATAAAAGTATTGTACATTTTTTTGTTTGTTTGTTTGGTCAGGGTTTTGTGTTTTTGTTTGTTTGTTTGTTTGTGAGAGAGTTAGGTGATTACTAAGAATAACCTCCTTTACAGCTCTGTTCTCTATTAATGAGATTAGCCATTTGACCAAGCTATTGGACTCCCTTAATTATTAATGTAGTCTCGTTGGTTCTCCGTTCATTCCAGGACATACAATATAAATCCATGCTCCAAAGAATCAGGAATACATTCTGAGAAACATCTACCATTTTACAGCATAAGAGCAAGAGCCATGGATTTTGGAATCCAGTCCTAAATTAGAGTCCAAGCTCTACCCCTTCCTGGCTGCATGACCTACAGCAAATTTCTCAACTCACCACTTTTAGTTTCCTCACTGGTAAAACCAGGATAATTATAACTACCTTACGGAATTGACTGAAGGCTAAGTGAAATTTGAACCCGAGTACTTAGGACAGCATGGTATATGGCAAACACTCAATAAATGTAGCTGGTGCTCCTGTCAAGCACAGTCTATTGACTTCTGGGAAGCTATGAACCTAGAGCTGGGTGAGCACAGATACCAAGACGGGAGATGCTAAGTGCGTAGAGGGCAGAGCGCAGAAACTGCACAGGAACGCTAGAATAGGTAATTAGGAGTTGAACAGCGACAGTGCCTGGGTTTACTCACCACTGCACAGTCACACAGGCACCTCCTGGAAATCAGAAATGGAGGGTAACCCTGTGTGTTCCTGTGCAGGTATAATAGGAACCCTGGAACTCTCAGCTAAGGATACATCTGGACAACTGGAGAAGACAGGATGAAAAACCTCAAGTAAATCCCAGTTTATCGGATCTTTAAGGACCTTAAGAGTGAAGAAAAATGGAAATGCCAATCCCTGCTTTAGCTCTATGAACTTCAAACTGTAGGATGAATGCCACCCGGGTCTTGAGCCTGCCTTTAGGAACCCCAACCCACTCTAGTGGGGTCTGGAATTGCTCTTCTGGCCCTAACCCTGAATTCTGGGTGAGGGCTTGGATTCCTTACACCCACTACGTACCATCTCCTTCTCAACCTGTGTTTATCTTAGACGGTCTCCCCCTGATTTGCAATCCATTTGCCCAACTGGGACTGAGACCTTACTCTAGGCTCCAGTCTGTTTACCTGGGCCACGATACTAGCCCCTTCTCCAGAGGATTGAGTACTGTTTCCTCTCCCCCCGACACATGACTGAACCAAATCTGAAACCATGTGGCTGACCACCCAACTTGGAAAAATACCTCTCATATGGGATCTCCATTCCTACCACCAGATCAGGCCCCTCAGAGAGAGTATGTAACTGGGGCGAAAACTAAGATTGATAGTTCCCCATGGGCACTGAGATACGGCCTGGCAATACCCTCCCTCTGGTTCTCATTTCCAAGAGATCTGCCCTGGGGTAAGGTTAGCGTCCTGAGCTTTGGTCCTGCCTCCCACAGAGTTTTTTCTATTTCACTACTTGTCAGATGCCAAAAACCTAGTACTTCTTACGCTGGAGTCTATACAGGCTAATAAGAATATCTTTGCATGCCAGGTAAATAAATTAAAAATGGTCAGCCTCTTCGTGGTGTTCATCCGTGCATTTGATCTGAGAAATCGTATTCCCTCCCACGGTTCCAACTATCATTTAAGTCTCAGACCCTCAGCTCTCTGAAGCCTCATCTGCATGTTTTAACAGATACTTCAAATTCAACATGTCTAACCCCATTCATCATCTCTTTTCCCACTCCTTGCTTCTAGAGCAGTCCTTCCTCTCTCTCTAGCTCCTCTGCCAGTATACCCTCATCCTATCACCTCGGATAGAAATCATAGCTTTGATGACTTCCTCTCCATCCCCGAATACATTTGGTTGGTCACTAAATCTAAACAGCTCTCAAATTTGACCCTTCTCTATTGCGGCCATCACCCCCTTAAATTAGGTTTCTATTCCTCCTACTAAATAATAATTATGAAATGCTTATTGTGTGTCAGAAATTGTGTTATGCATTATTCATGTAGTATCTTTTTTTTTATTTTTTTATTTTTTTTT